TACACTAGGAGATGATTATGGGAAAAAGGAGACAAGGAAGAAAAAATCACAAACAGAGGAGTGGTGACAGGGAATGAAACAGCAGGAAAGAGAACTAACAGAAAGAAGCAACCCAAAGCATGTACGGACATAGGCAATCCAGATATGATTGGAAATAAAGGTGGAAGATGGAAGGAAATAAAACTGAGGAAAAAAGGAAAAACATGCTACATAAGTCACCAAAATTTGGGCTAAGAAAAAAATTGATCTAGAATGAAAACAACAGATCGAGCTGAAGCAGATGAGAAAACCAGATCTGTGTCAGCCAGGAAGGAGCAATCAGCATGTAACTTCTTTAGTCTGAATTAGTTATTTAGCTTTATGTCACTGATAAGATTTCAGTTTACCATGACATTTTTGTTATTAAATGTGTGCCCAATTAAGTTTTTAATATAGTAATAACTAAAAACTTAAAGTTAATATTTTCCTAAGCTTTTCTTGATTAGTACTGCCCCTACTGGCACAAATTTTCAATGCTTGACACTAGCCTTCCAACTCCAGCTTCTGCATAACACAAATCCCCTATCCTAACCAGCATCTTCTCCAGTTTGGCACTCATTATTCACTTCGAGATTGGTCAGAAAACCTACACTACATATCACTGGAAGTGAGGAGGCTGGATGGGAAATGTGAGGAGAGGTAAGTATCTATTGGAAATATATTTTCAGTTTAGGAAAATGTTAACTTACCATACAATATCTTACCTCTCTCATAAATTAGCTTAAATTCCATGCTGAACTGGTGGAGGGCTGGTGAAAAAATGATCCCCCTTTAGGAAGCACCCAAAGAAAAATCAGGAGGTATGGAACCCCAAAAAATATCACACCACAGGGGGAGACCACACCACATCTGATCCAGGCATAGTCTTTGCTCTTTCATGACTGTGTCAAAAACATAAAAGCTGGAAGGAACATTAAGGAATCCCATAATATGTATTACCTATTAATGGGACCCCTGTGTGTGTCATGAGGCTAGGGTCTGACAAACCATAGTGGCAGTTCGAACACATCCAACAACTGGTGGCATCTGGAATTGTACATCAGTTCTGTGGCAGGTAGAGGATCACCTACCTCTTCATCTCAAAATGGGAATTGGTAGGGAAGACAAACTTCTGTACCAAAATCCATCTCCAATTGTGAGCATTTCCAACCCAACCAACACCTGATCCACCATGAACAGACATCCAGCAAATTGCAGGAAGGTTGTAATCTCTTGTGGGGTAACACCTTGGGTCCAAAACCTGGTGGCATTGGGTATATTTTTTTCAGTCCTCAGTAGGGAGAAGGATACCCAGCTGTACACAAGTGGGAATATATGTGCTGTTTCCAGCTACAACCAACACCATATCTGAGGGGAACTGACATCCAGCACATGGTAGGAAGAGGGACTAGAAACCTGGAGTGCATCACCAGTCCAAAACCTGGCAGCATTGGGCATTTTTCATCCAGTTCACAATAAAAGAAGGGATACTGACCAGAACACATGTGAGGACTTACTTAGCTAGACCATCTCAAACCAACATCTGACCCCCCCCCCCACGAACCACATTATATATATATATAATCATGACATGGTGGAGTGCTTTAACCAAAACCTGGCAGCATCTGTAATTGTACATCAGAACCACGATAGGAAGGGCATCATGCCATCGACACATGACTCTAATCATGACAGGACCATCTCCAATCTAACACCAGACCCACCAGAAATATACATCCAGAGGATGGTAGGAAGGAGGAATGCCACAGTAGGAAAAAGCAATTTGCCATATATATATTAATACTGCTTAGTGCTACAACTAAAACTTGTACATCAGTTCCACCATTAACACCTGCAGAATGCCAACACCCTACTCTCAACTGAGTGGCATGGTGCATCCCTCAAAGGGACAGACCTCCATGGTCCACTACCCCACTGGCTAGGAACTGGGAAGTGGCCATGACTCTTATACTCCACTAGAAGAAAGGAGGGAAAAACATGTTTGTGAGTCCAGAGGACTGCTTCACCGGAGACAGTGCAACAGGTAACTGTGATACCTTATTTTGAAAAGCAGAGCTACCACATCGATGGAGTCAATCAACCAACTCCTGGCAGCACCTGGAATTGTACATCAGGTCTATGGTAGGAAGAGTCTCAATGTCACAGAGCATCAGAGATGGACAGCAATTCTTGTCTAATTTACTCATGATTATCCATGAGTGCACAGTCTGGGAAAATAGGTGTATAGTGGACAATACCAGTAGCAGAGGTGAAAGGGGAAGAAAAAGGATGGAAAACTTGGCTAGTAGGGATAAAGGTATAAAATTAACAGTATCTGCCCCCCATACAGGCAACAGAGATTCTAAGAGCAGAGAATCAAGACAACAGAAAACAATCTGCCTGATAGTAAACTAAGGCAAAATTAGAACAAAGCTGCTGGATGGTGAAGCATGCTAGCACCATCTGTGAAAAGAGAGACAAAAAGGCCCAGCATGAACCAAAATGTCTGGAATAGGAGAGGAAAAAACTGCAGTAGAGGCCAGATGGAGGAAACTGTCAAAATATATGTTGTTCCAAACATTTTTGGCAGTTTGAGGAGGAAGGCAAGCAATATTGGGACAAGGTTGGATGGACCCCAACTGCAGGGGTCCTCACAAACCAAATTAATTGTAAGAAATATGAAATATTATTAATTATGAAAATAAAATAGTCTTTATATTTTAAAATTAAATGAGTGTATATTGACAATAGAAAATTTAGTAGATGGTATTAGTTGAAGAAACAACATATTTAACCTAATTTACGAGTTACCAGTAAGATCAATGACAGGTAAGCCTATTCTAACATTGTACTACAAAGGATATTACTAAACTTTAATTGAAAAACCCTAACCATACAAGAAATAAGTACAAAATTAACTAAGCATATGTTATTGAAACCAAATAACTACAAATAATAACATTATTATCAAAAATAAACAAAAAGCTAAAATAGTATAACAGCTTATCTGTCCAAAATCAGCAGACTACATTCAAAATGTGTGGGACCCCAAACTCGAGGCCTGAAGAAGATCAACTCATATAACAATAAATCTCCCGACGTATTAAAGCTGACAATTCCTCAGATGAGTACTGCCACCTGAAGCCTAGGTAATTGTGCTGGAAGTAAATGATAACATTTTCGAGGTGGAAACACAGCTTTGGTGAAGAACAATAAAGGTAAGTTATCAACTAAAAAACACGAAATGAGAGCACAAACAAAAAACAACTTGACAATAGCACTGCCAAATGAGATGTGATAGATTGGGAAAATTGAAGAGAGTCACATGTGTCAGGAGAATGTGTTACACTCCTACTGGTGGAGGGTTGTCGCATGATGACTTTCTTGCAAGACGCAGTTGAAACATGTTGATCATAGGGTGCATGGAAGCTCAAGGCTTATGGCATACGAAAACGTTTTGTATATAAAGGGCACCATTGAACAAGAATAGCTATTTATGTGAGTGAGGTAATGTACTATATCAGAAACCAATCTTTCCCGTATTTAAAAACCAGTATAATAAAACACTCCACTTGACACCTTCGTGTTCAAAAAAAATCAATAATATCATTATACATTCTCTGCCTGGCAGTTAACTCTTCCTGATGGTCAATTTTTGAGAAAAAATTGTATGATTTATGCTGACTGCATCAGGATCTATACAAATAATATGCTTATGTTTGTCTGTCCGGAATTTTTCTTGCAAATTTCTATATCAAACACTACAAATGTCATGTTATTAGAAAGGCCTTTGTCCAACAAGTCCAGATTGCATATTGGCTGTTCAATTCAGAATCACCTTAACAGTTTTTTGCTTAGTCAAACTTATCAATGCAACTAGTATGGTACACCAATGTCGTTGTCATCAATTCCAACTTTACTTTTTTATTTAAAAAGCATTTTACACACACACAACACTTAACCCGCATGTAATTTCTTTAAAAAATTAACATTACATGAAATACAATTTCTATGGGTTTTTTTGACTTATTTGAGTCTAAAATATTCATGCTCAATTTGTTCAAAACCATATGCTTATCACTTTGTGAATATACATTCAGACGTTTTTGCATATTCAGCTAAGTATGCCTTCATTACAACTTTACATTTACTTTATTTTCCAATAATTTAGCTTTGGTTCATTTCACATACATTAAATGAAATCTGGCACACACAGACACTTTACAGTTATGACATTCCCATATTTCCTGTCAGATATGCAGCATTGCACCTTGGCATCTAGAAAGGATTGTTTGCCCTCAACCACCCTCCCAAACAATATTCCAAATGATTCATAACCCTAGACACAATAGATAGTTTGGTTTTATTATCTCCCCCTTTTCCCATAGACAAACATATAATAACATTTATCCAACTAATTATAATTTATGAGGATGTTGTCTGTTTGCTTTGCTAAGCCAGAAATGTGAAGAAGATTATAATATGTTGACTAGAATTGAATCTGGGCAATGAGGATTTCTGGATTTGCAAGCAAGAAAATGTTGTCAAAAAGTGTTTTGATTTGTTTGGAATTTCACACAAAACTACACTAGGGCTATCTGTGCTAGCCATTCCTATTTTAGCAGAGAAAGATTAGAAGGAAGGCAGCTAGTCATCACCACCCACTGCCAACTTTTGGGCTACTCTTTTACCAACGACAAGTGGGATTGACCATCACATTATAATGGACACATGGCTGAGAGGGGGAGCATGTTTGGTGGGACAGGGATTCAAACCTACGAACCACAACTTGCGAGTCGAGCACCCTAACCAATTGGCTATGCCAGGCCCATCAAAAATTGGAACAGTGCTTTATGCCAATAACATTTAATTTTTGGTGTATGAGTGTAAGCTCACACTTTTTTTCTATTAATCATTAGATGTGGCTTATTTACCTGTCACAGTTATGTAGAAAGAGTTGATAAGTACAATTTGTAACTCACCTTCACATCTTACAGCACAGCTGTCCTCTATCCTTTTTCTACACACATTACAAAACTTTCTTTTCAGATGGCCAGGCTCTGTCCAACAGTGTGGAACAGGATTCTAGGAATTGAAAAAAAATTTGATAAAAATAATAAAATTCTATAGAAATAATATGAAAATAAAATATTAGTTGTTCAACAACTACATTCCACTTACATACAATTTCAGGGTAACTTAGGTTACTAACAAAATGCTTTACTGCATACAGTACCAGATTCATGAAAATATTGATATTTAGACCTAAAATCAGTTACTGAAACAGAATGCAAAAAAAATAATAATTGCCTTATTTTTAAAAAATTATACTTTATGCACCACACAATAAGGAAGACTAAATTTAAAAAGTATTTTTTATTAAAAATAATTTCCTACACATTGTTAGTTCTTATGCAGATTCTTATATTCAAAGTGCATGTTCAAATCTGATTTCAACTAGACTTTAGTGTGTTAACATTTTCTTTACCTGAAAATGTATTTTAAATAGACACCTCTCCACAGAACTGATAGCTATTACATTATGCCAGTGATGAAAAAAATGTGACATAATTGATTACCTATGAGCAGCAATTACATTTATTAGTGTCATATAAACTAATCAATTAATCAAAACTAGTCTTTTCAATTATTCCAAGAACCAATTAATCTAAAATCCAATTATACAGATTATCACAGAAATAATCATACAATCAAAATTGGTGTTTTCAATTATTACTTAATTTGATTATTCCATTCATTGATTAATGAAAATATTGAAGAAATAAATTGTCAAGAAAATAACCACTCAACCAAAATTAAAGTTTTCAATCACTACTATTTTTTTATTATTCCAACAATCCAAGTACTCAAAATATTGCCACCAAAGTTGCTCACCCTATCTGTTATGGGAAAGCTACTAAGGCTATCTGACAATGTCACTAATGTTTAACTGCTGACTAGTAGGAAGATAACTGGTTGAGCACCTGCTGTCAAGCATCTTGTGTTTTTTGTGAATTGCTGACTGGAAGGAAGGTAAGCTTTCTGGCAGCACTCATTGCCAAACATTGTCTTTTTTTATTTTTTACTTGTATGTACCATGGCTGGAAGGCCACCGTAGTAATTAATTGTAACTGATTAATGGGACCCATTGATTAATCAATTAGCAAGTAATGATTGTAATGAGGAATGTACAAAGGACTTCAACAAAAAGTGCTACTACTTCTAAGGATGAAGAAGCATCTGATCTGGAACTTTTACAAGATCACGGTCAACAGGTTTTAATGAAAATGTTGTTGTTTTTCTTGAGGCAAAAATAACAGGAATGTAAAAGTGGGAACACTGGTGTAAAATTGTCTGAGATCATATAAATCAGTACAAATCCACAATGAAAAGAGAACCATGATGAAGACATTTCTAAAAATGATCCTTTGTTATGAGATTCTGTGTACAGTAATACCTGCATGAATGGGAAGTGGCAAAAGTCGAAACATAAAACTGGCAAATCATCCTCTCAAAACAAAACCACAAATGACATGAGTAATAACAATGTGGGCAAACAGTAATGAATATATATATATATATCAGCTAAGATAGTTCTTTGATAATCAACAAAGAGCAGCACACTGCTGATGGACAGTTTATTCCCTTTGACCAAACTGAAAGTGACCATGAATTAAAAATGACCCAACAAAACATTCATCATGTTCCCAGTTATGCACAAAAAAAAAGAGCAGAAAATGTTATGAAAAACTAACAATATGTCAAGAATGTAAAGTTCACACCACAACCTCAGTAGAATAAACCTGCACTATACATTCAGATGCAACCCAAGATTTGATTTATACACTTGCATGATATGTTGATAGAAAATACATGCTTACTGTCTTAAAGACTTTGTATATGACTCTATCTAGACAGAAGTTATAATTTTCCTAAATGAAAATGTATTTCCGATAGGTACTTCCCTCCACTGACAAGATTAGCTTTTCTCTTTTTGTGTTGCCCTTTGTATGCGAACGTTTTCAGAAACGTATGCCACAAGCCTTCATCATTGCTCTGTTGGAATCCAATGTTCCAACACATCTCTCATGCAAATCTTCATGCGCCACCTCTCCACCAATAGGAGAGCACTACTATCACATAACACACATAACTCCCTCTACACACCACTACTGAACTATCACACCAAAGCTTGGTAGAAGACATGAGCACCAGAATTGTGGGGAGAACTCATGGGAAGTGTGAGTGGAGGGAGGTACATATCAGAAGTACATTTTCATTTAGGAAAATTATAATTTCTGATAAGGTACTCTCCCTCCACTCACAAGTTAGCTTGAATTCTACATTGAAATGGAGAAGGAACCAATGTGAGTGAAGCACAGGCATATCCCCAGAAGCATCCAGAGGACACCCCAAAATGAGAGGAACAAATTAGATGATCTGAGGAGGGGCACTTCATCACCACATCTGAACCAGGTATCTTTTCGCCAGGAACATTGACATGATCAGGAGGACCAAACATGACGGAACATGAAGGGAGCACATCCGTGTTGGAGAGGATAGTTTAGCAATGTGATTTTAAACAGAAATTAGAATCACTCAATCCCATGATGGAAAGTGGGCAAATGAGGACATATTCCATGGTGTAGAGTGGCTAGGGCACAACGGACCATACACTGTAAGTCAACTACAGAACAGAGGAGTCGATCCAGATCAGGATGACAGTAGATATAAGATATAGAGGATAGGCAGATAGAAGAAAAGGAGGACTGATTTTCTCGAGCCGTAGAGGTCTTAGGAAGGAAAGCATGATCTGGATAAGGGATAAGGTAGGAGGAGTGGTACAAGGTCCTGGCAACATTGAGGGCAAAAATATCCAACCTATGATGCCCATAGGCCAAAAGGAGGAGGAAATATGCCTTGAAAGAGAGGTGAAACAGGGAACACGTAAGCAGAGGTTTGAATGGAGGTAAAGTGAGGGCATGAAGGATCATGTTAATGTCCCAGTCCGGGAACAATGGATGTCTCAGCAGCTGACAGAACATGGAAAGGACAGGGGAAGCAAAGACCTTGCGGAAACAGGAAAAATGGAAGGTATGGGATAAGGGCACCTGAAACTCCAAAATCAAGAAGACCAAAGAACACCTCTCAAAGAGTCATGGGAGGAACTCAGAGATACAGGCAACCAATGGGTGAGAAGCCTGGAAACCCCGAATCAATGCCCAAGAGTGATACACATACCTGAGAGATAAAGTCTGAAAAGACTGATGACAGATGAGATGAATATCAGGTAGTGAATGGGAAAGTGTGGCAAACTTGAGGGGGGGGCAAAGAATCAAAATTGTCATCAGCTAGCCCAGCTCGAAAAGCTCAGGAGGAAGTGAGGTAGAAGTAGGCAAGAGAGGTTGCTCATATACCACTAAATATCCCGGCGAACGAGTACCGATATATCCTCCGACGGCATCAGTTGCTGGTGAAGTACCCAAAGTGGTGACTGTAACTTCGGAATTCATAAGTGGGAAAAAGCAGAAAACACAAGGAAGTAATGTTTTAATAAAAATATTAACTCCACAACTGTGAATTGTAGTAAATAAAGTTAAGAAAAATATAAAAAATGCATATTAAAAAAAAAACAAGGTAACAGAACCATGTAAGAAAGAACAACTGTACTTGACAGCTGCCAAACAAGAAGTGATAGTATGGTAGTGGTGTGTAAGGGACTCACATGATAGTAGGGCTCTCCTATTGGTGGAGAATTGATGCATGATAATTTGTACGAGAGACGTGTTGGAACTTTGGATTCCAACAGAGGGATGATGAAGGCTGTGGCATGCATTTCTGAAAAAGTTCATATACAAAGGGCAGCACAAAATCAGAAAAGCTAATCTTGTGAGAAGAGGGAGAGTACCTTATCAGAATTATCCATTACATCAATGTGTAAAGCTCCTTGGGAAAACAAGCTTCACCAGCACAATCCAAAGTTCCTTCAAAAATCCATGGATCTCTCTTGGCAGTTTCAATAGTTTTACCTATAATTACAAAGCACTGAAACACTTTCTGCAACTTTTCTTAGTACTCTTATACCACTGGGGACCTTGGTGGTACCAGATGTCTTGCCTGTTTGGTTTTTCTCCTTAAATTAACATGATGTCTTCTAACTGAATATAAAGTGAAATCCCTGAGCAATATACTTTTGAAAAGCAGTCTTCAGAATTCCTTACAAAAACACACACTATAGTCTAATATTAGATACTCCATGTATACTTTGGTCTCAAAGTATTTGTGATTGCAGTACAAGAATATCAAGATCAAATCCATGGAATATTTGAGATAATGAAAAATAGATGGTCTCTTACCTAAAATTACAATTTCAAGAATTTCACAAAAATGAACTAACATTTCCATAATTTTAGTTAAAAATTCTTTTCGTTTTTCAGTTGTATAAATTTGATTTCATTTGAAACTGCATACAGTTTATATGGAGTTTATAGATAATTTAGAATAAAATATTAATTCTTATTATTAATCATTAAGGTTTTCAAGAAACACTTTTTACAAAAATAAAGTGCACTCTAAGCTCCTATTATTCTCACAAAAAAAAAAGAGATCCAGTAATTAAAAAGGTTGCATTCTCACTATTGATGGCACAATTCACTAATACTATTCAAAGAATATATTCACAACTGACCACATATGTATAGTACAGAGAATAACAAGATATCTCAATATGTTTTGATATGATAAAATAACACACACAAAGTTTAAATCAAATCACACTTGCTAACTTTGCAGCAAAATGATATTCTGGAAGGTGAAAATAGTAAAGTGCAAAATTACTCTCCCTTGAGTCACCATACAATTTCTAAAAATCCATGTTTCAAATCTTACTACAGCTTAGTTGTAATTAATTGCAAGAATCAGAAGTACTTACTAAGTTCACATGATTTTAGGAAAGACAGATATTAAATCAGCCTTTTACCATTATAATAATAAAGCTTAAACTGGCTAGAATAATATATGGATGCATTTTGATAGAATTGTATTTCAATCACTGTATCACAATATGTACTGTGGCCACCTTGGCAATACCCATCCCTATTTTTCACCAAGTTCATTAAATCTGTAAAGTAAACAATACAATAGTGGTTAAAGAAGTATCATATATGGTTTAAGAAAGGAACATATATTTTTCTGATATCCTAAACATAATCTAATAAAATTAGTTCTAAACTTTTTAAGCAACTTTAACTCTAAGTTTCCAAAAATCAGAGCTAAAATGCCAAATAGTTGTTCCCTAGACTTAAAACCATCAGACGTACAGAAGCATTAATTAAATATTTTTATCATATTTTACTTTTCCACATCTCAAAGCTAGAACTTTTATTTAAAAGAAAGTCTGTTTGGGCCCTAATGTATATTGAAACTGGATTTAATAAAGGTTGTGCTCTTCAGTGCATTGATCTTTTTTGATGCTTTATCTTTTGTCATATATCATTTTCACAATGGATTTGGAATTGTGTAACCTACTTAATAACAGTTTAATAAAACACTTTTACTTACCTTTAAAACATGAATGGCATTGGTAGAGCAAGGAGATACAACTGTTTTCAAGCAACGGTCATGAACAACAAAATTACAAACTGCAAGAAAAACAGAACAACCTTTTCAAGTTAACTTTCACACAATTGTTTCTGCAGAATTAATTCGTTTAAGAACACAATGAAAAACAAACAATCCAAAAACAGCACAAGTGTTTATTTTTTACTGTATTAACTTTGTCAAATTATTCTTTTTTCTTTGGCTGGTGACATTCATTTTTTTTGTACTCATGTACCAAACTGATTTCCCATAAATCAATATATCAACCCATAGTTGTCTTCCAGTCTTTTGTAAGTAATTTGTTCATTATTGTTTAAGTGAAAAAAATTGTTTTTTAATGAAATAGAACAAATAATTATGATTTAATAAATATATGATTTAAGAATTGGTTTCACATGATTTTTCAAAATAGGTTCAATTTATTTACTGAACTTACTACAGTTACTTTTAAAAAGAAATAAGAACCATTATAAAGTACTTGAGGAACAAGAAATAAGACTTTCAAATCATTATTTGCATGAAAATATATCAATTTTTATCCAAATTCTAACCTGGGTCTTTTCTCTAAAAATCTGTATATGTGATGTTAGATATACAATGTGATTTTAGCAGTTAAACCAGTGGTTATGCTTTTATAGTCCTAAAATTGTAATTTATAATAATCATTAGTATAAAACCATTAATTGCTTTTCTCTTACATTAGTGATGTTGTAACATACAGTTAGTTAAGTACCACTATATAGAACCAAGCCTGATTACTACAAGAATGTCTTAAGACACACACAAAACCCTTACATTCCTGAAGAACATTGTATTTTATATTATTCAACTAACTTAAGGATTGAAAAAACTTGACTAGACTTATTATATAAACAAAATTAATTACTACTTAAATATGAAATTTCATACTAGTAGTTCATGAGCTATAATCACACAAAATAAGCATCTGAAATGTTTATTATATAGAATCATGGCCAAACTGAAGTTTAGAAAGTTAATGAAAAAAATACAGTGAATGAAACAAATTATCAGAAGAGTTGAAATTAGAGAAAATACTTTCAACAAAACTTACATGACCCCAGAACTTCAATTTTCCTTCTTAATGACCACAACAACTACTGAGGTACAAAGATTTATTGCAGGTTCAATAATATGACCTTCTAGAATTTTATGAATTTGCTCCTCTACTTCTTTTTTTCTTTACTAAAGACTTTATAGGAGGTTGTAATTATTGGTGAAGCTGTTGGAGTGACAACATGATGCAAGATTAAGTCTTTATATCCTAGGTGATGATTAAAAACAGATGCAAGTTCTTTCAACAATACATTTAGCTCAACCTGCCCATGGTACAATAATCTACTTGATTCAATGTTCAATAACCTTGATGAATATAGCATATCTTGTTTCCCCAAATCATTACATAAAACCAATTCACCTTCCAATTCTTTTCATTGGCTCTCCATGTTCATTCACAAGTCATCTATTATCACATTTCCTCTCTTTACTTTGTTCATTCTCAGCACAGTACTTACCTCATTTTTACCAATATCTTCAATAATTTCTCTAAGAAGTACATTCTCTTTCTTCATTGTGCCTCGATGATTTGTACTCATATCTATTTTAAGAACCTTAATATCTGTGTCCTCTACTTTCTCTGAATCATAATTTTGAACTAAATTTGCAATATTACTACAAAGTTGGTGGATTTGGGAACTTTCTCCCTTGTAGGATGAAATATAATGAAATTATACCATCAACTAGGTATCTTTGTGAGTTAATCAATACTACACATCCACAGAGCTTATATCCATTAAACTAGAAACCTTGGAATCTGTGATCATAGAAACGGAGGTTCCAGTATCCAAAATAACTCTATAGTCTTTTACACTTATATTTACTGTAGAGCAAAAAAGTACCATCACCTAAAGTGTTTACTTTCCAAAATAATGGGGATGTTCTCTTTCTATACATGAGAGAGAGCATCCCTGCTGAAAGTCTTCCATCAAATAACTACCTTCAGATTTATAATGGGTAGAATCCTGAAGTCTACAATGCCTTCTTCAATGACCAATCCTACCACAATAAAAACATCAATCTTCTACAGAAGAATGCCTGTCTTTAAAATGATTTATTGACATCCATTGTATGAAATCATTATATCCAAGATTTACCATCAAATCACGTGCCCTAGTCAGTAATTCAATAACTGTTACAGGCATTCCTCCATTATACACCGAAAGTATATATTTATCACATACACGATACAAAATTACCTTAACCTGTTCTTGCTCCAATGGGTGTCTTAATGTGTGTCTTAAATATTCCTAGCATTTTAACAATAAAAGTAGACAATATTTCATTTATCTGAAAAGTTTCATATACTATTTTATAGTTTTTTCATCATGGGTATTCTTTACAAAAAACTTGTTGAAATCTGACTATAAATTCTACCAACATACCCAACATATATCACATGACCATGTGCCATTCATAAAAAGCACATTTTAAAAATTTGGCAATCTTTTTAACTTGATATCATCTGACCAACAATTACTTATCTTATAAATGTTACATTCATAAAGCCATTGATCTGGAGAGATATCACCTGAATCGGTCAAAATAAGTACTTCATGAATATTTTCTTAAATCTCAGTATTTCATAATACTAAATCAGTTACTGTATTAGCATGAACAAAACTACTTGCAGATTCACTAGGTGAATACAAAGATCCCTTAGTAATAGTATGTACTTTTGATTGACCTGCAATTATTATAAGTAAAACACTTGTACCTCCTAGTTTCAATTCCAGTCAAGATATCGATTAAGTGAAACTAATCATCCTTTGTAATTAGATCCTTCTGCTTGTCTTTCCCAATTAAGAAAACATTTATCTGTAACTGCATGACCATTTCTAACAAGTTAATTAACAAAGTTACATTTCTTGGAATGTAGCATATATGTAATAGCCTCTGTACTTTAGTTATAAATGTGTACAAAACGATACATATAGAAAGTACTAACAAAACTAAAAATATCTGAACCCACATTTTCAAGGAAAAATGGAAAGGATTAAACTATTTATGTTAATAGTAGTATCATATTCATTTAGTTAAAAAGAGAGTATGATATGAACAAAAACATAAAAAGTACAAATTAGAATATAACCTCCCAGTAGTATGCTTACTCAAGTTACTGTTGATTTCTAGTCATAATTCAGAAGGTTTTATATAATATAATTATAAAATATATTTAAATTATAAAATAATAATAATAATAAATTATAAAATATAATATAATATATAATAATATCTAATATACTTAGAACACACTTTGATCCATTCCTGTTCACACAATTTTGTTATTCACAATGAATATTCGATTAAAAACCTATCATTTCTGGCAAAGTGGTTGAGTCCATCCAACCAACTAGAATCAGAACCATCTGGCAAAACGACAATACCTCTAAATCAAGGGCCCCATGTTGGGTGCAAATTTGTAAACCACTCCCTTGCAGACCATTCCAGTGAATTTTCTTGAAGCAAGGTAAATATGATTCCCTCTTACTCCTCTCTCAGTTAAGCTATTATCCTCGCTCCTAAGATTTATTGCTGGCTCCTAAATGTTTGAGATATTTTTTTAACCTCAGTACAAAGGAATGTGTGAGAAAAAGAGCATATTATTCTTCTACACCTGAAAGTATACATATACAGGGTGAGGCAAAAGTTACTATACTGTTGTGTAATTTAAGAATACAGTTTATTTTCTAACATCTTACTCCAGAGTTTCAATTTTGAAAATCATGAGAGAGCAGTGAGTAATTCTCCTGAACTTTTCCAGGACAGTGACAGGTTGTTAGGTCAATAATATCAAGAATTAAATTAATTACTAGATTACAGAACTATTATTTCAGAAAAAAATCCTTTGGATCATTAAAGTTAATGTTGTAGGGATAAAAATGATTTTAAAATAATCATTGAATGGAAAATTTTAAAGTTCTGCTTAAGACAAAGACAAGAGTCTATATTGCTTGAAATTGTAGTTATCAAATAGTTAATGTAGAATTTTGTTATCCAATGTGAGCTATTATGTTTCACATTACACTTATGGAATTTCTTTTTTATTAACAAGTTAGTTTACATACACACACACACACACACATGCATTTGAAGAACAAAAAAACCTTAATGTCATCTAACAAGATTTCCTAGGATTATTTTAAAAAGATATTCATTTGTAATTCATAGACTTCTTGAGAAATAAATATTTACAATTTATTTAAAAAACATAAAAGAAATTCAGATATAATTCATTTACTTGAACTTTAAAAGAAAATTAAGTTTTATTTCCATTTTTGCCTAACTACATATACGTATACGTAACACCCAATCTGTGTCAGCACAAGCAAGATTTAGATTAGGTTGTCTACTGAGTAAGGTGATCCCTATCACAGTGAACAATCTTTGGTTTTGGATGCATCCTGTTTTAAATATAGTACACTATATTTATATATGCCTTCTTAGTTCTCACTCAACTTAGATATACTTTCCTATTTTGAAAACCATACCATACCAAAACACGTGAAGCCAGACTTCACAGTACTGACATCATATTGTCTTTTTATCCTTTCCACTGCTCACTTCAGCCTTGTTATAGTTATGATAGTCCAACTTTTTTGGTTCATTAAAATTTGATTAGGAAATATTTCCTTTTTATATTTTATTTGTGGCCTAAGCTAAATTTTCATCATATTTGGGTTCACTATCTCATAACAATTAGATATACATATAATAAATTTTTAATCTGGCAAAAAATAGACCTTTTATTCTAATGCATATACTACCATTACAGATGAGACAACAATATGCTGCAAAATAATGATTTTTTATCAAAGCAAGTACTTAAAGAAATGTAAATATGAATTAAAAGCTAAAATATACAGTAAAATTTAAAATATATTTATACAGATGATGTTAAACATAACTCACTATAATTATTTATTAAAGTTCTATGTTATCTGGAATAGTGACCTTTTATCTCATCAAAACCTGGCCTTTATTGCTATGTCCTTTATTATCTGCTAAACCTTTTTATAGATTGTATTTTAATATAAATGAGAATATATTGACAGAAATCTCACAACACTACCTTAACAGTGTGACAAATATTCATGTACTTTTTAAATTGAAAATGACAGAAAAATAAGTTTTGTTCATTTAAGTTTGATAAGAAAAGAGAAAAAATAGTAAAACAAATAATACAATAGGCCATAAATCATAGTAAAACAGTAACTTACAATTTTGTTAACTGTAATATTACTCCATTAAGCTCCATTTTATTACCTGCAGATATTACTATTATTAGTGTGGTGTTAACCTGAAAGTGAAACTAAAATAAATAAAATCACATTTCACAATTATGTAAAAATTAAAATACTATCAATGTTTTATTACTTACATCAGTAAATGTGGTGCTCCTGTAAATATGACACACAGTATTAATTAATTTATTATTCATAGTATTATTAAGCACTAAGATGAGACTACACTGAACTACTGGTATTTTTTACTACTAGTACTACGTAATACTAATAATAGTAATATTATATTAGTAATACTTTGCTATAATTATATTTTGAATTTGTGTCACTTAGGCTTAGCTGAGGAGCATTTTTTAACTAACTTCATTACCAATAAAGTTAACTATTAATTTATAAATTATAATTACAATTTTTAATGTAACTGACCTTCACATATATATCCCTGGCCAATTAGTCCCCACAGCATATCTGTACAATGATGACAGTATGTAGGCTTATGAAATGTCTTCTTTACAAAATAATGACCATGATGACCCTGTTCATAATCCGTAAACGGTACTACTTCGGTTGTCGGACTCGGGTCATCACTAGGCCTAATGCCCATGTTAGGCCTAGCACTAGAAGCCATATTGTTCCACCTGAGCCGAAATAAATCTGCCACCGCTTGCAAAGCCAGCGGTTCCGACTTAGATTTCTCCAATTTTGATGGCGCAGTATCAATATTCACTTTATATTAACATATTGTAATAGTACAAAATGATAAAACGCAGAGTTCCATTACGGTGTCTCTCGTCATGTTATTCAAGGAAACGCCATAAATATTTACCAAATTTGACATCGAAGGTAAAATAATGTCAGTATCCGCCATTCCATCGTTTTCCTCACTGCTGTAACTCCGCGAAGCAACAATTTTCACATCATAGAACCTCAGCGCTTCAGTATATAATTCCAAAAAAAAAAACATGCTAAAAATATTTTACATAACATTAAATTATCATTATAGCAAATACCATTACGCACAAAAAAACAACAACAACAAACGTATAAAGAATGGTCATTTTAAGTTTCAATGGCTTTTTGCACTAAGCTATTCCATTAAACCAGTACTTCTTAGTAAACTGATGTATATATTACAAGTTTAGCAATTTATTATTCAACACAATCAAATATCAAAATCTTTTTAAAAATCATATTTTATAAGAAATATAATATCATTCTTTAATAGTGATAAAATCTGGAAAATCTGAAAATAATCGAAACGTAAGTCTCTTAATTGTTAATTTGTTTAAATTTCATTTTGAAATATGTCATGCTCACATACACTTTCTATAGAGTTCAAGATTTCATAAATTTATTCAATGCACTTACTTATTTATTTTTTGGAAAACTTAATGAAGCTAACAATAAAAAGATGACTTTCGATACTTTGTACAGTTGTAAACTATATCAGTTATTAAAACATAACTAAAAACAAACATTTTTATTACAATTTAAAACCGTCGATTTAGTGCCTGTATAAGTGTTTTTCCAACACAACAGTTGAATACTGTAATATATCGACCATTTCAGGGGCTTTCAATATTATTCGTTTTAGTGTTCAACATCGTAGAAGAGAAATCTTACAAGAAAAATTTAATTAAAAAATAATTCAGAATTTTGTGGTACAACGGTTTTTCAACGTCACGCTTCTACAATAACTAAAATAATGAAACCTAAAGCATTATAAAAATATTATCGTTGCAAGTTTGATAAACTATTACTTCGTGAATTTGTATAAAATATTTATTTTGTTAAATTAATCATGTGTCCTGTTTAGCACTATCATTGGGCAGCAGTAACATATATGAAAAAGAACTACGAAAAATATATCAAGAGTTCAGGAATTGATTTAATGATGCATTGGTTTTTGACAGCTTAGGGCAAATAATAATTGTATTAATAAGTAGCAATTAATTTATAATATAAGTTATAAAAGGTCCCTCACCCGATCTCTCAAGAAATAGCATGTAAAAAATATTGGATAATTCATTATTTTTTATCCCCATATCGGTGCGCATCAGTAGTTACTGGTAGCTTGTGAATTTGTTAGATATTATTTCAATAATCTTACTTTCCTGGCCTGGCATGGCCAGGTGGATAAGGCGCTCTACTCACAATCTGAGGGTCGCGGGTTCGAATCCGCATCCCACCAAACATGCTCGTCCTTTCAGCCGTGGGGGCGTTATAATGTGACGGTCAATCCCACTATTCGTTGGTAAAAGAGTAGCCCAAGAGTTGGCGGTGGGTTGTGATGACTAGCTGCCGTCCCTCTAGTCTTACACTGCTAAATTAGGGACGCTAGCGCAGATAGCCCTCGTGTAGCTTTGCGCGAAATTCCAAAAACAAAACAAACTTACTTTCCTCTATATTTTGTGTGCTTTAGGTTTTATTCAAATAAATATAGTATTAAAATTGAAATTATTAAGGTACATTAGCTTATTTTCATCATGTTCGCATGTTTTTATATTCTAACCTTAACTACAACCAGCTTAAAAGGTTTTTGACAGAACTGTTAGTACACCTACTTTCAGTTATCAATTATTAATATCGTTCGCGACAAGCCTTAGTAACAGTTAATTCTAACCAGATACAAATACATAAAACTCAAACTAAACATTTGCTATATTGTTTTGTCTTATTCTTCACTTAGGAATCTAAAATTAAATTGTTTAAACCTTGGCAACATTTTTGATATTTGTATAGGTAAAAATATAACAATGCTTAAATGGTAAAGTTGAAATAAAACTTAGTAGTGTTTTCTTCTTTTTAAAAATATTCTAAGCATTAAAAGGCAGTTTCTTTTCTAGTCAGCAACTAAGTTCTCTTGGATATCACACAAGGGGTTAGAGGTTAAAGAAAAAAAAAGAGAAGAAAATGGAAAACAAAGATACACTTGAAAGCCTATATTAATAAGTTGGAGATGAAGTTAACAGTCAAAAAGACTGTTCGTTTACTAGTATAGAAGTAGAAGAATAAAAAAGATGTGAGCATTATATTTGGTGAACCAAAAAAAATCTCTCAATACGTGGCAGCTATCGGGAAAAATAAAAGTTTATTGTTACTCTAGAGGAGACTGAAATATCCAACTTTTAATAAAATTAAATGTCGAAGAAAGAGTCTTTGCTATGGGTGTAAAACTATGAATGACTATTAAGAGGTTGCAATCTTGGATAAGAAAAAGTAACCCACGTAAATAAGCACGAGTAGTTAAGCAATCCCTGAAATTTTATATACTCTACTCATCAGCTATGTAATTCAAATAGTCATGAACCAGCTAACAGAAACTGGGTTTTATTTTTGTCAGTTATAGCACAGATTTATACTAGCGTGATCAGCGTTACGAATGCACTCTCACCATTATAAGTATCTTAACGTAAAGGCTAAGTTTTGTTCACGGCATTCAGCAATGACCTCTAAGAGAAGATTGGTGTTCTCTGTTTTTATTTGAAGCTAACATCTTACTTCTTAAAACTAGTCACGTGGGAAGTAGAAAAAATATGTTAATATTTGCTATGAGTTTATATTAGTGTTACTAATGCAAGCTAACATAAATAAATGTTCATTCTTTTCTGCCGAGGCATACGCATACCATTAAACATGTATCTAACCTGTAATTTGATAAACGAGTTGTTAAAAATGGGGATATGCCACTTGATCATTCATTGTAGCTTTAGAATGATGCAGCCAGATGCAGTGACTTTGACCCTCAAATACAATAAAAGCATTTCCAAGTATCTACACATGATTGCAGCACAATATATAATCTTAGATGTGATACAAAACTTAGCACAATTCACCATAAGTTATCGTCAGATTTTGTAAACACCACTATAACATAAAAAATATTTTTGGTTGGATAAAGAATAGGTTCAAATTTACAGCTGAACAAATAAAGAACAACTGCGGATATAAAGGTATATGAACAAAAAGTAAGATAGTTAACATTTTATATACAATCTTTTAAAATAGGAACTACTGTTTCTCCTTATTGTTTGTTTGATCGATTTCGCCTAAAACTACACGAGGGCTAACTGTGCTTGGGCTCTCTAATTTTAAAGTGATAGATAAGAGGTAAAGGAGGTAAATGAAGTAGGCCTGCGTAAACGATACGAATTGGCAAGATTGTGATAACGTACCTTTAAATTTACGTATGTCCTTGGACATTCTATAACAGAAACGTTTTCATAACAATTTCTAACACCAGGAGCGTTTTCAGAATAATTTCTTACAATAGGAACGTCGCTCCGGTTCGCTCCCCCTCAACTCATACCCTGGACTTATCGCTGTCCAACATTGGGGACATTCAAGAATACAGGTGCGATACTTGATTTGACCAAGAAAACTGATGTTGTTGTTTTGTGTTTGTTTGTTGCTTTTTTTTTTTTGTCATATTTCTCTTGATTTTTCCATTTCGGATTCAAAATCAGAAACGTGTAAAAATAGCATTTTTATTTCTCAATTCTGTGGAGGCCTTCTTTCCAGTTGTTTTAGTTTGGGTAATTTTTTGTACGTTATTTCTTGTTGTCAAATGATGGTGAAGGCTGATAACATATAAATATAGTCTGTTTGAAATGAATACTAGTTTACGGATATTCTAAATTGTAACTGGAACAGTGAACCTTACTAGCAAACTTTAAATCTTGTGTTTCAGCTTGAAAATTTAAAGATAGCTTCAAAGTGTATTCATTATAAGTAAGTTTTAAATTAACTGAAAACCTAAAAAGAATGACTATATGTGACAATTTTGACCTCATTTCTTACATACTTTGAGAACACCATAAATATTTACTACTTGAGTACGAATTTAAAACAAATTAACAGTTGTTTGAAATATAAAACTAAAAAAAGTCAAAACGATAGAATTGCTAATTCAGTCTTTGGCGAAGTTGGGTTTAGTATGCAGATATATTAATATTAGAAATAAAAGTATTTTATTTAGAAAAAGCCAATATGCTGATTAGGTTTTCGACCAGCCAGATGAGAATGAAGAGGTGGATACCATTACCTCATGAGAAAACCACTTGAATGTGTCTTTGGTCGATCAAACTGAGTCTAAAAATACAGCGAGCGCTTTTATGATTTTTCTCTGTAATCAGTCTTATACAGCATTGACTGGCGCCAGAAAAAACGAAACAAAAACAGATGACAGTTAATATAACCAAAAGCTATGTTTAGCAGTCTTGTTCTAAATTCCAGCACCCTGTTTTAATTTTCGGAAATAGCATGTTTGTTTGTTTGTAATTAAGCACAAAGCTACACAATGGGCTATCTGTGTTCTGCCCACCACGGGTGTTGAAACCCGGATTCTAGCGTTGTAAGTCCGCAGACATACCGCTGTGCCACTGGGGGGCTCGGAAATAGCATCAGACTAAAAGAGAATCATAAGGTTATAGCTTAATGAGGTCCAAAAAAGACTCATTCCAGCTTTTACGTTTTCTTCTGGCTTATAAACATCAATCTGAAAAAAAAAATGCCCGATCCAAGAAATACAAAAGTATTGCTGAGACTAAGACACCGGAAGTCATCTTAGCAGTGCACCATGGAAAGTACTTAGAACCCATTCTGGAACATGCCTCTTCATCTAACTCACACAACCCATTTGAAGCAGACGCCAAAGATTATCCTGAAAAATCCACAGTGTACTACATCTATCAACTGGTAACGTACCGTGAATCCCATAGAGGATTAACCAGAGGTCACCCTGAGTACTAGCCCAGTTATAATCTAACCTGCTAGCCATATACCACACGCACAGACCCAAAACTCATCTTGAAAGATGTGAACCCCAATTACGAATTATAAGCAACTGGAGGAGTACA